GCAAAATAGGAAGTTAGCTATACAAAATAATACACGCCTTGCTATTACAAAACATTTATGGGGCACTGCAAAGTTAGGCAGCACTTTACAGATGTTTATAGAAAAGCCATATTTGAGATGTGGCTTTTGCTCCATAACCATTAGAAATCCAGTTACGCATCTCTTCTCCTGCTTAAAACTGGTATTTGCTCTGCCATTTGACCCCAGGTGTTCAGCAAGTGCTGCGCCCTGCACAGTTCCTCTGGCTCTATGTGTACAGTGCTGGGAAGCTGTATTATTCTGGGACAGTTTCTTTGTTAAATTGCTGAGGCAGAGATGGAGCACATCAGACACATGGTCGCACATTCTGCACCATACCAGAAGCCAGTAGCCCTTCCTCTTGCTCTAATCCACTTCTTAAGAGAACCCACAAAGAAAGCGCCTGTCTCTCTCCAATGTCTTTTGCAGTTATTCCCAGTTCCCCTCTGCTCTAAGAAGAAGAATGCTGCCTTGCTCAGCTTGTCTTCCATCCTTCTGTAGCTGCCCTTGGGCAGACCAGCCATTTATTGTTTGATCCAGTTTGGCAGCTGGGTTTAAACAATTGTCAGAATCTGTGCTGAGTCTAATCTACTCTGACTTCACTCCTCTTGAGCCCCACAAGTTTTTTGCATATGAGTCTTCTGGTTCATCAGCTATGTTAAGTTGTATTTAATTCAATTAAAATGCTGAACTGATCAAGCTTCTCACTGAGGGCAGATTACAGCTGGACTCATGAAAAGGATACTCAGCAGGAAGGGTGCACAGAAATCAACAAGCAAGGGAGCTAGGAACCACAGAACCCCTGATATGCACAATATAGGGGATATTAAAAAGTGGGTAGGAGGCAATGAGCAATAAACATCCCAGCCCACTATGTCTTTTAATCCTTTGGCTTCCCTTCTGTCTGCACTAGCTGACTTCTGTGGGATGACTGGTTAGGTATTTAAGAAAATGAATGACACTGTTTTGTCATGTGTAGAACAACAATTGCAAGCATCAAATGAACTCGGCACCAAGCTGGGATCACCCAGTTACAATGGTGGGAGAAATTAAACAGCATTAATTAGATGGAACTCTTTCTGCCTGGGATATGTCTCATCTCTTAGCTGACAAAAGCTTCTGTGGTTTGGCTTATTCAGAGCCAAGTTGATAGGAAAGCTGAAGGGAAAAAAGGAGCATTGTCCATTGTCCGCCAACCCAGCTGAAGGAAGATTTGAGTTTGAGACTGTCTTCTAAAGAACAGGAAAAGCTTGATGAATTTTTATCCCAGACACCACTAATACATCTGAAGGTCCCTCTAATTAGACCACAGGCAGCACTTTCACTCCTGGGTCACTGAGATCAGGTAAATAATACATGTAAGGGAGAAAGAATCAGAGAGAGAAAAGATTTTTTCAGCTTCCAGAAACCAAAACAATCTTTTGCTACAGTAGAATTCCTACTGGCTCTGCAGCTACCTCTATGTAGTCCATGCTAAAACTTTCTCCACAGTATTTTTTTTCCTATCTTATTGACATCTGATATAAACCAGACTGCACTCCACATGAACAAAAGGACCTTGATTCTTCAAGGTACAATAAACTCTCATTTCCCACTGAGCCTGTGAATGAGGTTGACATCCCAAACTGCTGAAGGTAGGTCCCTTGTATGACTTGGAAATTGCTTTCCTGCAGCTTCTCTGTTCTTTGAAACATTGAGAAAGGGCCAGGAGAAATATCAGAGCTTCAGTCATGACTCAGTTCTGTACTCTGTGATTTGAATCCATCCAGGCTTTTATGACAGAACTATAGAATATGAATATTGCAAACAAAGTGTAGGACAATTAGTTACATTTAATAGGCTTTATTTGCTGTCATTTGGCAAATAAAGCATGTTTACATATACTCTTTCTTAAAGAAATGCCTTTCCTTCTGTACATATACCTGCCTTTTTCTATATTAAGCAGTTAATGAAATTCAAACTACTAAACAAAAAACTGTGAACATTTTGGACAGTAAACTCCTTTTCCCACTGTATGTCTATACAATGCCCAAACCAGACGAGTCCTGATTTTTTAATAGAATTTTTGTTATTAAAAAAAATATTTATATTTCTTTGATTTAAAACAAAATAGTCTTTAGTTTACCCGATTCCCTTCTAAAAAATAAGGAAGAAAAGTAGCAATAGATTTCCATAAAATACCAGTATGATAGAATTGTGCTACTGAGGAAGTCACCTACAGGTAAACTAGAATTACATATTAATACATTACACAATGTGTACCTTGGAGTACTCAAAAGTTCAGATGCTTCTTTGAGTCATATTTAAGCCTCTTGAATCTAAGCAACTACATAATTTCAAATAGTAGCTGCACTATGCAAAATGTCTTAGAGAGGAAGATGCCAAAACGAACTGAAAAATCATAGACTTTCCAGTAAAAACATTCTTTTTGGTCAACATTATTTGCTATATTCAACCTAAACATATTAATCGTTTTGGTCAACCCACAATTTCATTTTTTGGTTAATATATCAATTATCTCTCAGCTTTTCTTACATGCCCTGTCTCTCTACTTTCCTTTAATAAATAATGGCATATCTTTCTTCTGTATTTAGAAATATAACCTTAAAATGATGCTTCTATGAAAAACATCACTTGGAGATCCTGTGACACTTGATGGACTTGAAAACTTTGCCCAAGAAAGTGTGACAGCTGCATGATCCCTGAAGATGCTTTAAAGGGCATCCAATAGATAAATCTAGTGCTCTTACCACACAGATGTAATGTTACAGCTAGAGGCAACAATGAACTATATATACAAGAAATTCTAGACCGGTCAAATAAATGACAGTAAAGAAAAAAAAAGCAGTGGAGAAAACTTGAGCTGATAATTCTTTTGTTTCCTATAGAACTCAGAGCAAGGAATATGCACACACTGGATTTTCCCACCCCAGCCTTTTCCAGGGTTTACCTACAAGCAACAGGAGCAGAGAAGGCATCAATTTCCTTTCACCAAAATGCTCACTTTTGCACCCAGAAGATGTAAATCTTAGAGAGCAGTCTGGACTAAGAGCTGCCTGTCTGTGAAAGCTATGGAAGAAGCTTCACTGGTCAGCTAAAGTGCAGGGTCGTTTGTACACAGATTTAAATGGGAAGTTACTTTAGCTTCCGGGAAGCAGAATCTAGCCCAGAAATCTCACAGTGCAATACATTAAAGAAAAATTATTAATTATAGTTGAATTAAATGCGAAACATATATTTTACCATTTTATGATGATAAGTATTTCCTAAAATGTCAATAAAGGTTAACAAGAAATGGCGTGGTTGATTTGTTAAACCATGCAAGTTAATTTCCAGTTGCTGCTTACTTTAAGAAAGTGAGAAAGAATCTGCAGTACCATAAAAGTACAGATTCTGCTTCTTGTCTTTTCTTCTCATAAAAAAGAGGAAAAGAAAAAAAATGTGAAAGAGCTTAGAGCTAGGGTAGTTGATTTGAGAATCAGTTGAATATTCTTTTTGTCTGTAGCACTAATTATGGACTTGATTATTACATAAATATTGTTTCATATTAGTTCTATGGTCAAAGGTCTAAATTTAGAATCAATCTTTTTTTTTAATGATGCAGCTTCTATAATAAACACTATGATCGAGTCTAGGTGTATGTTACAGTATTAAAATGCCTTCTTTTTAAGCACTCGTCGGAATCACTGTAACTGGTCTGCTATGGCTTAGCCTGTCTGTCTGTAAAAACGAAGATTTATTTTTGTGTGGCTTGAACTGAACTGACTGATTTTTGATGTGTGCTCACCCTTAGCTATTAACATTGTGTGCAATCGCAGTTCAAATGTTTTATTTTCAAATAAACAGGCAAATGGACTGTTATTTCTATAAATACTAACAGGATCATGCCCAAGCGCTGGGATTTTTCAGCCTGGAGCAAGAGGAAACCACACATTTTCTGTTTATTTTTGTGGGTTTTACTATTTTAAGCAACTTCAAACTCTGGACTGAAAATATTCTGACATTTCTGGTTAATTTGAAGGAAAAAAGTCCCAGTAGTTTCTTAGCAAGTTAGGTCAACTTAGACCAAGTCACTGAGTGATAAAAAATTATTCTCTGTGACAACAATGTATGCAATGTCCTCCTGGATGTCCATCACCATGTCTCTTGCAACGGAGCCCCAAAGAAATACATAGGAAGCTGGGAAAATGGTTGATGGAGGGCCTGGTCCTACTAGCATGTATCCAAATCTACTCATGTGCCACTAAGTGTGATTCTGCAGGGTTATTTGAGAACCGTTCCTGCCTCCTTAACTGAGAACAGAGGTTGACAGTGATATCAGATGCTCTTTTCTCTCTTCCCTGACCTCAGTTTTAACACACAAAGGACAAAATGCCAAGGTTTTTGTGCTGTCTTTGGAACAGTAAAATCTGAGCATCAGTTTAGACCTGTGCACTAGTAAATACTGTTCTGGTTTTCCTTTGCAGCTGGCTACTTGTGTTTTGAAGGGACAGAAATGGAAAATTGCCTGGGTTTTTCTGAGCAATACCTCTGCATCCTTTGCTTGACCTAACTTAATAGTAACCAGCTGATTATCTGCAGGCAACAAAGTACTGGTTGAGAATAGTAAATTGCTTTTTGAACAGGCAAATTCAGACACCATTAGATGACTGAAGTTTTACAAGGGTAGCAGACTGTCCTTTGAAACTGGAGGCTTTTTGCATCCAGAGTTGTTCCTCTAAATCTCTGGTCATCTTGAAACAGCTTGACCTCTATATCTCATTTCTTCGCAGTTATAAAACCCTCTAATAAATTGAGAGAAAAAATGATTTAAATGGGTAAACACAGAAAAAGTAGGTAAGGAGAAAGCTAACGAACTCAACTGCAATTCCTATGCCAGTATTGCCTTAACTTAAAAGTATTGATTAAATAACTGAATATTTACATCTTGTACTGGAATCACTGAAGGCAAATGATGCATTGCAAAGCAAACAGAGGCTGACCTTTGCACGTTTTCCCATCAGGCTGCAGGGTAAATCCAACTGGGCAACTGCATCGTACCCCTGTCGCGGTATCCTTGCAAGTCCGATCACAGCCTCCATTATTGACAGCACATGTTTCTGCAGAATGAAAGAGAAAGAGAGAGAGAGAGAGGGAGAAAGGGAGTGTAATGAAATGTTCTGGGGGAGGGGAGAGGCACCGACACTTTGGGGCAATATTACAACATTACGAAAGCAATCTAAGTTTAAGCAAGCCAACTGAAGCAAGCTCTCAAGGTCATCAGGCCCCATGTACTGGTTTTGACTGGTAAATCATTTCCACAAGTCATGATTTCTTTCTCCCCAGCCCACCCCCCCCCCCCCCCAGCTGGTGTTTTTATTTATTATATTTTAGTTAGTGCTTTTGAACTCTCTTAGACAATAGGATGGGTTATTACATATGAAACAAGTTTAAAAAGAAAAAAAAAGCGATCCTGCCTTTAAAAGCAGAACCAAACATTCAGTCTGTTTTGTATCAATGTCTAGCTGAGGCTTTTTAAGGTTCATTTACTTAAAATGATGTCGTAGGCATAATGAACTTTAAAAAGCAGTAGAAAGCAAAGCAGAGTGCTAGACTTGGAACTGAGAATTTAAAATCCTTAGTTAAGAAAGAGTTAATGGAAAATGAACTACATATATCACTTTGACAAGAATCTACATGCCCAATCTGTTCTTACTGAACTACAAGCAAAAGGCATCTGGGTTTTGTCCACTTAAAGCTTTTTGCAAATTGAAAGGAGTTTGGAGTGGGTGGGAGGGCATAATTGAGGTCACTGAACCCATTCCAAGCTGTGTCATTGAAATTTCCCAGTGCTTGTAGTATGTAGAAGGGTGGCTGGGCAAACACAGGCAAGAGAAAGCTGCAATACTTCTAAGCTTTTACAACAGTGGGCAATGGCTATTAGGTACCACCACATTAAAAAAAATCTTCAACTTCATTACAGAAAAAGCAAAAAACCCTCCCTCATTGCCATTATTTTCTGTTACTTGTGTGTGCACATGCGCACACTGTACACATCCATACACACACATACCCACACACACATCCATAAAGTAGATAAAAGGCAAGTGAAATGATTAACTTTGCTTTGATCCGGAGAATAGAGTGGATGTAAGGATGCCAATTTAGCATGTCAGTCTGAACTGTGCATTTATCTGAAAAGTATTTACTTCAGAGAGCAAGTCCTTTTAATAGTATCTTTTTCACTTGCTCTGTCTTTGATTAAATTAAAATACTTCCCTGCCCCCCCAAGACTGCCATTATTCTACTCAGCTCACCTCATTCTGGCTTTCCCTAAAGAAGCTTTGTCATTACTTACTCAGATTTACAGACTCCTATTGCTGAATATTCACAGCCTGTGTCACAATTGTACCCTGTGGACAGGGTCTGACAATAAGCTATAGGATATGCTAATCGGGAATTGCCTTAGAACAGTACATTGATCAAAAATTATTTACACAGAATAGAAAAGGCTTTCTCTTTCAATTGACTAGTACTGAAAGATTTTATTTTAAAGTAGCCTCTGCTAATGCCCTCAAGGTGAACTCAGACTGGCTCTTTGGAGGGGCATCACTGCTTTGAAATAAGAGAATAAAAGTGTAACTGTTATTCTTGTTTTCTTTCGCACTAGCACAGACCTCTACATCAGTTGTGGAATAAACTGTTGGCACTTACGAACAAACCAAAAGCAAGGGGTTGGGGCACACATATATTAACAGCATGTGACAAAACTCTGCCATTCATATATATTCACACATGTTCTAATAGATAGATTTTTAGCGCTTTTTTATGCCATGTGTGCTATGTAATAACATCACGCAGAAAAAGCAATCAGTTATATTTGCATATAACTGCCAGCAGCTACAGCTAACAAACGGATTGACATGCTTTCTGGAACAGCTTTCTGCAAATGGAGCTGAGTCTGCGACTCCTTAGTTTCAGGGGGAATTCTTGCTCACCTTAGCTACGACTTGCAGGACCTGAACCTAACTGTTTAAGTAATATACTTCTGATTTTCATTTACTTCTCCATGAAGGCCTATTTCATAGACTTAGAGGCTGAAACTGCTGCTTGAAGAATTCTTCTGTAAATGACACTGTTAGCATTTCATTTGTGTGTGAATATGTGTGTCCTCACAGGCCAATGTATCAAACGATTTTATGTTTCAAAGAAGGAAAAAAGTTTCAGGTCATTTAAAACTTTTTTATCAGGACACAGTTTAATGGTAGGTTGATTTGCCATGAATAAAAAGAGTTAAGGTTAAAAAACAGGAAAAAGTGATGAAGTTGGGCATGGCACTGCAAAGTGCAGTAAATCTTACATCAGCAGATTAACTTTGGCATATGAAGAGTCCTTTATTGCAGTTCATCAACACAAGATGAACATAAGCAGTAATATTTCTGCTTTCTGGATGACATCCAGTGAAAATGAATAGACACAACAATTTTTTTTTCCCATGGCATGGATGACTGGATCTATAGGGTAAGGGTCATTCAGTGAACAAGAGTTATTTCTGTGTATAAATAGAGCGAATCAAGCCAGCTTTTCTTATTTTCACAGAGATTTAGTAACACAAACCAAAAAGGATAAATACCCTTCAACTTTCCTGGTGCCTCTAATACACGCCAAACCCTAAAAGAATGAAGATCCAAGCAAGCAAGAGAACATCTGACAGTACCTCTAATGTTTTGGATAATTGGAGAGATGTATTAACAAAATTCCTTAAATTCAAGGTCATGAGAAAACACTGGTAAAGGAAAGCGAATTTGTACAGCAGAATGTGGGAAAGAGGTATTGTGAGCTACATCAAATAGAATAGCTGAGGCCTATATATAACATAAACCGAAGCATGTCACCACCTGTGTTTCTATTAGGAATTACTTCAACTCATTCTTCACCTCCCTACTATCAAACTTTAGTATATATTTGAAAGACAAATACAAATTTTAGGTCTCAAAGAGCAGAAGTAAATTACTTATTTCATGCTGGAGAATCTATACTTATATGGAAGGGAAAGAATGGATGCTCAAAGTGTGGATCAGATCTTCATGATGGTATTGATCCTACAGACCATTTTCCATTGTTTTGTTTGGTTTTGGTTTTTTTTCCTGTGAAAGGCAACCTCAGCTTATTTATTATTTTTTTTTCTTCCATTTCACACTTTTTGCCACAATTTTTGTCCTGATGAGGGAGCAGAACAAAAACTGGAAGACACAAAGCAGTGTCATATAACTGACATTTACATTCCTTTCAAATTATGATAAAGCTCATCGCTTCAATTCATTAGACTTTATTGTGAATTTAAAGTGATGTTTGCAGCCACATTTACAGCCTTATTAAATTCGCACCAGAAACCTCAGACAGAAAGAGGGATCTAACAAAAAGGACATCCCTCCAGTCTGGGACAGCTTACATTGTGTTTCTACACTGTGAACAATTCTGGAACAACGTCTCATGAATCTGTGCCCTCGGTCTATAGACAAGAAGTAATGAAAATCATTACCAACATGCTATACCTATGATTTCTCAATTAGGATATTTATTACTAAAGCAGAATCTACACCAGGTGGCAATGGAGTCCGGTCACTTTCTTAAAAAGACTTCTGACAGCAGACAGGATTTATTTGGCTTTGGATGCTATTAAATGCCTGAAACTCTGAACATGTGCCATGGGTTAGGAATATTTCTGAAAAACTAAATTTCAGCTTATTTTATAAAACAGGTAAACACAACTGTTCAAAAGGTAAGCTTCTATTCAGATCTGTTGTTTTTGGTTTTTTTTTTTTAAGGTGGCAAATGATATCATAAAGCCATTGAAAAACTGCCTTGAAGACAGGCGCCTCTAAAATCTGCCTCCATTTTTTTGTGATTTCATTTGATCTCTATGATCAAAAGAACATGGTGTTATTTTAAGGGTATTAATCAAAGTAAGGCAAATCTTGGAATCTTTATTATTCACTTTGGCAGCCTGGGTCAACTTGAGTGATACCTAAACCAATGTTTTAGGAACTGAGATATGGTGCAAAGCAGAACAAACTTATACAGGTCTATGGGACTAGAAGAGATACATCTGAAGATCATACAGTAATATATGCGTCAGTGAGGTCATTCTCTATAATCTTTGGTAAGTCATGAGGACATGGTAGGGTTCCTGATGACTGGACAAGGTAAACATCAAAAACGCAAGAGGAGAGATCTGGGCAACTTACCTGCCAGCCAGTCTCACATCAGGCCCCCCCATGTTTATGGAGGAAACCATCCTGGAAGCCATTTGAAAGCACACGAAAGACAAGAAGACGATTGGGAATGGCTAGCATCAACTTGCTGAGGGCAAATCATGCCTGATTAACCTGACTGCCTTCTACAATGACATTACTTATACTATGGGTAAGGGGAGAGGTGTGGATGCTTTTCACCTTAAGTTTAGCACATGCTTTGACATCGTCTTCCATAATACCCTTATGGCCACAGTGGTGAGAGATAGACTGGATAAGTGGATAATACAGGGAATGGAAGATTAGCTGGACAGTTGAACTCAAAGGATTGAATAAGTGGTACAAAGTCCAACTGGCAGTCTGTCACCAGAGCTATCCCTCAGCCTCAGCTGGTGGTATTAAGGTCAGTACTGCCCAATTTCTCTAACAAACAATGGCACCCTCTGCAAATCTGTGGATGATACCAAACTGGAAGTGTGATCAATACACCAGAGAGCCAGGCTGCTACTCAGAGAGGCCTTAACAGGTTGGAAGAAAAGGCCTGAGGGGAACATTAATGACCTTCAATGAAGGCAATCCCAAGTCCTGTGTATGGGATGGAATATTCCCATACAAAAGAACAGGCTTTGAACTGACTGGCTAGAAAGCAGTGTAGAGAAAAGCCTGGAGTCACTGGTGGACAAGCTGAATGGAAATCATAAGTATTTCCCTAAGGCAAAGAAGACCAGCAGCATCCCGGCTTACATTAGTCAAAGTACAACCAGAATATCAAGAGAAGTGACCCTATCCCTCTATTTGATCCTTGGAGTAACAATATCTGGAGTGCCGTGTCCATTTCTGGGCACTCCAGTGCAAGAAAGACATGG